TAAAAGGTATCTATCACAGGGACACAGCCCAGTGTTGGGATAGTGTAAAAAAGTAATTCTAAAAAAATATATATACTGTATATATAATAAAGTCTATATATTATATATACAGTATTTTTTTTTTAGAATTACCTTTTTACACTATCCCAACACTGTGCTGGGTCTGTCACAGTGTGGTATCTATAGGTTTAAAGCACCAGCCTGTTCAAGTATTACCCTATGTAAAATTAATTAATACCCGCTGGTGTTATTATTTATCACAAAACGTCTGTTGATAATTTCTTAACAGATCATAAGGATTATTTGAACGGATGCAGATCGTGGCCGAGATGATCGACTCGGTCGAGTTCATTTAGGGCCGAACAAGATGATTTCAATTTACTACTCGGCATTTGTGTAATTCACTCATAGATGGACAGCAACATTCACTACTGTATGTTTTTATTTTAAAAACATAAGGAGTGGTCCATTAGTTACTTCATATTTACTTCATAGTAGATCTATGCAAAATATAAAGATCCAAATTAATTTATAGAAAATCATGAACATCCGAGCGGCTATTTTAAAGCCGAAACATTGATTAAAATTGTTATTATTTACTCGTAAAAACAGTCAAACTCCTTCGCTTTAACCATTACTTTATTGATGCAATGAAATATTGACAGTATTTAATTTAATTGCAACAGCAAATGTTCTCCACTAAAATAGTCTTACGTTTCTCACGTCTGACATTTTTCACGACCCTCCCGTGAGATTCGTAAGATCTTACATTTTTCACGGGTCTGACGAATCTCACGCTACACCGGTACAAAAGCAGTATACCAGCTTTTTTGCAATAAATGCTGTTGTTTTTCCTTGTGTCCAGAATGATATGCACATACTGTTAAGAAATATATTTAGAAATACATTGAAAATTGTATATTTGTGCTATTCTTATTCTATTCTTCCCGATACATGTATGAATCAAAAGCTCGGCAACACTGTTCATTTTTGGGACATTTTACACTGTTCAAGTAATCATTCTGGGAAAACAGAGCGAGTGCATGCATGATCTGAAATTTTTGCAAATAGGTTTTTTTCTGAGATCTACATCAAATAGAATATCATATAATCAATCTTGAAAAATTATTTCCAATCCGGTCATGTCAAAAGCCTCAGTGGAGTCCCTTTAAGTAATTCATATATGACATTGACCTTGAGATGACTGACCATCAAGGTCAAATACTGAATTTAACTTATTGTCATATCGTTAAATTTATTTGTTTTGTGTTTATAAGAAGAATTCCTTGAAAAATATTTACCTCATTTTGACTGTAAAAGTACATAAATTATAACAACCTTAGAATTCAGCCATCAGAGGCCATTAATGCTAAAGGTATAAGAGTATGAGTCTGAAGTTTACAATATTTATGATTTCTCTTTGGTTACAGAGAGAAACAGTTTTCCTTTTTGTATTTTATTATATTGAAAAATGTATAATTTGCTGTCAAGTTGTGTGTAACTAAATATGTGACTAGTACATTTTACATTATTTTCTGTTCTTAGTAATTAATCTATAGAATAAGAGTATAGGTAAAAGAATCTCTGGTAAAAAATATTTAAAATCTTAAAAGCACATATAATGTGTCAGAGATAAATAATTTTGTAATTCTTTAGAAAGGTCAAACATGTGTTCAATAATGTTTTAATGATGTATTTAGTACGGAATGCCGTTAGGGCCATCGCCTATGAATGTGTTGATCTGAAACGCGATAGTCGATAGTACGATGGTGAAAACGCGAAATCACGAAACTACGATGGTGAAAACGCGAAATTACGATGATGAAAACGCGATAGTACGATGATGAAAACGCGACAGTACGATACTACGATGATGAAAATGCGATTAACTTTCGTGTTTTCACCATCGTACTGTCGCGTTTTCACCATCGTAGTTTCGTGATTTCGCGTTTTCACCATCGTAGTTTCGTGATTTCGCGTTTTCATCATCGTACTGTCGTGTTTTCATCATCGTACTATCGCGTTTTCACCATCGTACTATCGCGTTTTCATCATCGTACTGTCGTGTTTTCATCATCGTACTATCGCGTTTTCACCATCGTACTGTCGTGTTTTCATCATCGTACTATCGCGTTTTCATCATCGTACTATCGCGTTTTCACCATCGTAGTTTCGTGATTTCGTGTTTTCACCATCGTACTATCGACTATCGCGTTTCAGATTAACACATTCATAGGCGATGGCCCTAACGGCATTCCGGAATGCCGTTAGGGCCATCGCCTATGAATGGTTTGATCTGAAACGCGATACTCGACAGTACGATGATGAAAACGCGAAATCACGAAACTACGATGGTGAAAACGCGACAGTACGATGGTGAAAACACGATAGTTTATCGCGTTTTCATCATCGTAGTATCGTACTGTCGCGTTTTCATCATCGTACTATCGCGTTTTCATCATCGTGCTTTCGCGTTTTCACCATCGTAGTTTCGTGATTTCGCGTTTTCACCATCGTACTATCGACTATCGCGTTTTAGATCAACACATTCATAGGCGATGGCCCTAACGGCATTCCGTAATTTAGAGCATTGTAAATGTTTAACAACTGAAAAGAGTAACACTGAACAAACAGTCATGTGTTGTAAAGGTAGCAAAATGTGAGCAGTATTATTTTGACTTCCATACAAAATACTGAATTATTGTAATTATACCAATTGCCAGATAATTTCTCTACATGTACATGGTCAATGAGTACATGTAACTATTTGAGAAGTGCAACAAGATATGTAAAAGGAAAGTTTAAAAAATATTTTTTTTTATCTTTTCTCAAAGACGTAAGGCTCCTCCTATGGAATCCCCCGTCTAAAACAGCCCAAATTTGCATTGATGATAGAAATATGATATCAAATTGTCCCAGGTTTAGATTACCCCACAAATTTCAAGATGCTTGTAAAGAATTACACAACCCGGTCATTGGTTATAAAGATGTGTATAAAAATGTTTACTGTCTTGCTTGCAACGAAAATCTAGAGGCTTGTTATTTACAGCGAAATATGTAAAACAGACAAGGCAAGATTTCAATAATTACTGATTCAGCTTTATTGTCAATGGAAACCGAGGAAGGATCATACAGTCTGGGCCAATGTCCAAACGGAAAGTTGAATAACCAAAAACTGGTAAGATGATTAATATGTATTATACTCGGAGATATTAAAATCTTTTTATAATTGCTAACATTTTTCTTAATATTGATGCAATGAAAAGAAATTATTTTAATATTGCTAAGATACGAATTCTTGCATCGAAAATTAGATTTTATCTTGAATTTAAGCAAACGAATTCCGTTTACTTTTACAGAGCGAGTGCATAAAAAAAACTTGCCCTTTCGGGCACAAGAAAGTTGGAAATTCTTGCAGGCCGTTTGTTTTGCAAATTTCCGGTGCCAGTTTGTCTTATCATCTAAGATTTTTATATAAAACAATCAAATTTAACGACAACGAAGTTCTTATGGAAGCCCGTCGTTTTGTATTGCACCATAAGGAAACAGCAGAGGCAATATGTAATGAAGAAGTTACCGGCGTTGCTATGGAATGCTATTTTATCGCAGTTATGGTCAAAATGACAAAGCACATCAGACAACGGACGTCGATATATAAAGATTACGAAATTTTAACTAGTAAAATATCATTTTACAACAGCATAGAGAAGAAAGAAGATTTTCCGATCAGAGTAGAAGTTAATGAGAACGTTAAATATACAATGACATTGGGAAAAATATCGGAACTTCTACTGTTAATTGACGACAAGACGCCTGCATGTCCATATCCAATCGCCATGACTACTCTACAGTTCTGTGATTTGGAAATAATTCCGGCAAACACTTGTGAAAATAGTATAGTAACCCTGGAAAATGGTATCGTATTCTATAAAGGGGAGTATGTAAACTTATACACCGATATAAACTCTTACAAAATTGTTGTTTGCTATGACAAGTATGTATCTAAGATGAAAATGGCTGGGAGGGTTTCTTTTTCCAGTGGCGACCATCTTCATATAATGTCTCAACATCACAAACTGATTGCTGTAGTCATTGTCTTCTTTTTTCTTAAATTTTATTAATTCTTTGTCATTTTATGTTTAATATTTCAACGTGTTTATGTCGTCCTAGCTCTGCGACATTTGACTTAATCTACATTTTCGAACATTGAATTAACTATTTTTAGTTATTTACAAATAGTATTAAAATTGTGTCCCGCACTTCATCTCAATGCTTTTTTAATCTAGAAAACTTACGAACTGATTTTGTGTTGAAAAAACCCTGTATATTTAATAAAGTCTCAGGGATGTTTAGGAATATTTTAGTACATTTTTCATTCGACATTCGGCAATTTACACTAATTAAATTGATGTTCTTTGCTCTTGAGACTATTCTGAACTTTAGAGAAACAAACTGCGTCTGTTTATCACATTCACATATTGTAATATCGGAAAGGATAGGTTACAATGGAAATAAGTATAACATGAACACATTCAAATGTCGACAATAACCAGTAATGTATTTACATATTAAAGTGCAGCATTAAAACCAAAGAAAACATAAAACATACATTAAAAACTACACAAAAAAGAAAGAAACAAACAAAAACAAATTGTTCTCTAATTTTAAAATTGAGTGAAATAAATATATAATTATTTCAATAAAAACAAACGTTTCTCTTTAGTCTTCTTCAGTAAAAAATTGACGTTCATGAAATAACAAAATGTTTCTTTCTTTTTTTTTAGTAAAATAAATCACATTTGAAAATTGCAGCCGATCTTATTTCCCGGCATAAAATGACATGTGTATGGTTTGTTCTTGTAGTAAGATTGATCAAACAAGTATGCTATTACTTATACAAATTTATGTATCAAATTTCAGTCTACTTTATATTGCTCTGGTTTAACAAAGATATATTTTGCTTAAATGTGTGATTTGTAAAAAAATAAACATGTACACATATAAGACATGTTTCTTTTTAAACTATAAACTATTTACAGGTATATACAGTATGAATATATAGTGTCATTAAAATGACTGGCAGAAAAGACAAAAGTCTCTTGACCAGTAATAGGGAATGCAGCTTCCCAAACATAGTTTGTGCATTATTTTATTCAAATTCAATTAATTCAGCAAATATTTCCGAGTTTTCAATAGATTTCTGCAATCAAAGTATTTTACAAAAAGATAAATAAAGTGTTGGATGAAACATTATAAAATGAAAAAAATCTAAAGAATGAAAGTAAATCCTTGTCAAGAAGTTTTATCATACATTGTACTATGTTCACATTAATTTTTATAAACTCAATATACATGTACAAAATATAGTTTATTGCATGTGCAATTTTTCCAGCAATCAAGTTACAGAAGGAAAGAACGGAAATTTGCGTCATTACAGGAGTTCTTTATCAACATCCATTCCTTTTCAATACAATATGATACCGACTAGTACAGAAATATATATAGGCAGTGGATCCGCCGCATCAACAATATGACTGTTCCACTTATTGGCATACTCTGTGAATGAGTAAAAAACTGCTCCGTTAGGGAAAATACGCTTGTGACGTCGTTAACGTCAATTTCAAAGTTATACCGTGCGCCACATTGCTTTACATGTACATGACACTAACTGCATAACTTTTTTATTTGTTTATATTTCTTGTTGGTATTTTTTGTATCATTTAGGGAATAGATTCCGATTTATGTTCCGTGTATTTTTATGTAAATTCATTTAACAGGTAACGAATCATTTACAAAGTCCGGTTAATTTTTGATCATCCCTCGTACATATACATGTGTTGTAAACAAAATTTATAATCAGCATTAATATATATAGTTGTATTTTGTTTAAAGAAAAATATCTATTTAATGATTTTTATGCGTCACTTTTAGAGTTGTTAAAGTTTTCGTGACTTGTAAACTTTACGGCTGCTATTTTTGTAAAAAAAGTGGCAGAAAATAACATTAGAGAAAGTAAGCCGTTCGTCCTGTTTTATCAAAATGCGTAGTATAAATAAATAAACATTTTAACAGTGCACATACATGGTTTAGTAAATCAATCAAGTGGAAAACAATGGATTATAACAGTGACAGTGTTTACAGGTAAGTTATCGTGCTAAATGTAGAATACATTCTTACACTTAAAAAGATATGTCTTTTTTGTGAATGAAATAAATCACATTTGAAAATTGCAGCCGATTTTATTGCCCCGCATAAAATGACATGTGTATGGTTTGTTCTTGTAGTAAAATTGCTAAAACATATTTATGCTATTACTTATACCTATTTATGTATCAAATTTCGGGATATTTATATTGGCCTGGTTTAACAAAGATATATTTTGCTCAAATTTGATATTTGTAAAAAAATAAACCTTTCTTTGTACACACAGATAAGATGTGTTACTTTTAAAGCTATAAAATATTTACAGGTATATACAATATGAATATATAGTGTCATATATAGTGAATTACTGGCAGAAAAGACGAAATTATCTTGACCAGTAATAGGGAATGCAACTTCCCAAACATAATTTGTGCATTATTTTATTCAAATTCAATAAATTCAGAAAGATATTCATAGGTTTTAATAAATTTCTGCAATCAAAATTTTTTACTAAAAGATAAATCATGCGTTCCTGGATGAAACATTATAAAATAAGAAATTCTAAAGAATGAAATTAAATCCTTGTCGAGAAGTTTTATCATGCATTGTACTATGCTCACATTAGTTTTATAAAGTGAATATACGTGTACATATACATGTGTTGTAAACAATATTTATAATCAGCAGTAATTTATATAGCTGTTTAAAGAAAAAATATCAATTTAATGATTTTTATGCGTCAGATTCGACTTGTTGAAGTTTTCGTGACTTGTAAAATTTACGGCAGTATTTTTTTTGTAAAAATAAGTGACAGAAAATAACTTTCAAGATAGTAAGCCGTTCGTCCAGTTTTAGTTTACATAAATAAACATTTTAACAGTACATATACATAGTTTCGTAAATCAGTCAACTGGAAAAAGCGACAGTGTTAACAGAAAAGTAATCGTGTTAAATGTAGAAAACATTCATACACTTATAAAGACATGTCTTGTTATGTTATATATATTATTACAAAATGTCCATGCATAAATGACAGAATTGAAAAAAAGTATATGTTCAACGTTAACGCAAACTTGTATTCATGAAGGCTTATCCTCGTGGTATCAATACGCCGAAATTCGCAAAATTTCTACAGTAAAAAGCACTATTTTATTTTTCGACAATTTGGATAGAAAATCGGATGTAGTCCCTATTTCAGTTCATTATTAAGAAAACATTTTTAGTTCTCTCTCGTCAAAACATGTAGATTAACAAGTGATTGATGGAACAACGAATAATCTAGTTTAAGATAAAACTTACTTCATATTCAATTTTTATAGGTTTCATTAAACGAATCTGTCATTTGTTTTCACGAAAGATTGCATAAAAGAAACCTGCAGAAGTAGAAACTAAAGTTAAAGTGAAGAATATTGCTGCTATTTTATCAACGGCGTCGACAACCATGTCCCAAGTAAAGTGTGTTGTTTCCGTGACATTTTTGGCTTCCTTGTTGTTATCGGTAATGTTATCCGAAGATGAAGTTGCTTCTGTCTCAATGCTTTCAATTGTATGGACCTTGTTAGATTTGGTATTTTTCTTACAGAATACTTTGCTAATTTTAACGAGAAACACAAGAAAACGTGGTACTGCCGTGTCCTTGTCCATTAATTCTGCTTTCGTTAAAAGTACAGATAAAATTGTGATGATTGTTGACTGGGCAGTTTGAACAACTAGATATATCGAAAAGAGCGGTATCTTCTCGGAATGCGGAGGCATAACAGAATCTACAATGGTCAAGTAGAAGGAGAAAGCTAGGAATACTGTAACCGCGTATCCTGATCTGTTACCACCGTTAGGTATTGCAAACACGAAAAGTCCTAGAATATTTACTAACAGAACTGGAAGAAATAATGTCATCAGTGCGTGTTGGGGTTTCCGCTTCAACTTTATTTCATAAATAAGGACATCCACGCCCAATCTTTCTGAATGTTTTACACTTGTGTCGTGGATTTCCCATACAGGGCTGGCATCGTAATAGGTTAACAACACATTATTAGATACTGCGGTTAGATTAATCTGCAATTAGACAAAAAATCCACAACACAGTAGTGTATATATCATTCAAGGGTATTTGAGCAACACATTAGCTTCAATTTTGTTTTTACGCCGAGTTTAACACATTTTATAACACATCGAGGTCCTCCTTAACGGCCTTCCTGGAAAACTTACTAGTAATTACTTATTTCTTTGCAAGTGACCTACCACAAATCCTACATCGGAGATCAAATCGGCGAATTCTGGATTACAGATCCGATACTCACCCTATTATGTCAAGGGTATGGACAACTAGAATCTATCATTTCAAATTTATAACAGCTTTTGGTAGAATTCATGTTAAATATTTAATGGTTTTGTAAATAATGCCATCATGCTCTTATTTGTTTTCAATTATTTTTTTAGATAAAATGTGGCGTTTGAAATTTTGTCATTGAAAACAAAACAAAACAAATCAATGAAAATGATTTATATGTCCATACCGTGACACTGCTTTTAACATTTTTATCATTAAAACATGAAACGATTTCATCGATTTATTGTCAGAATATTTCCTATTTAATATTTTATCATTATTTCGTTATTGAAAAACATGAAACGATTTATGATCGATGATCGATTTATTGTCAGAATGTTTCTTTTTTTATGATCCGAAATTAGAAAAAAAATTACTTATTGTATTTTTGATAAAGTTCCTTCCGCTACTTCCAAGTTCAAAGGTTTTATTATCTAAAGTTAGAAAAAACATATGTGCTCAAATCTCGAGAGGGACTTGGGAGTTAGCTATCCAGCTAGCTTACTGAGCGTCGGTGGTTCTACTGAAGTACCTATAATAACTGGAAAGTCTCAACATGCCCTTCACTGTGTTGGTGCGAAATAAAACCCAACACCAACAAAGACAACAAAAGATTATTTCAGTGCAGGTATTATGGTAGAGCCAACAATCTTCAATAATTTGTTCAAATCGCATATAGGCGACATGGCACGGTCGTGCATGAATTTTTGCTGTGACGACATACGCGTTCTTCACACAATCAGAACATCTCGGCTATTATTGATAATAACCTCGGACTTAATACGGATACCACGTGGTGTTATATGTAAACAAAAACATAGGATGTAATCAGTGATAGTGTTTTTATTATTGTACATACTAGTATTTGACATCCAAAGGAAAATAAAGTATATTTCAGTAAAACTATGTCTGAACATATGCCTGGCAATTTTATCAGTTTAAAAATGCCCACAATTTTAACCAAATCCGAACTGATGTCAAAAGGTAGACATGATGCACTTTCGGTTTGTGCAACCATACTCGTAAGCACATAAACAATGAAGTTTACTTTTATGAGTATATCTATTTATAAATCTAGTTATCAACACCCATCATTGAATAACTTTTTATTAACATGTTCAACTTCTTAGCGTAGGTTAGACCGAAATATCGTATCCGTCATGTGTATTCTTACTATTGTGCTCGAGCTTGTGTTTCGAAGTTTGACGGAAAGGGCAGAGAAGACGACATTATTTACATACAAGCTGGCGGTTATAAGAAATATTGGGATAAAAATAGTAAAGGTAGCATTATGTGGTCAATTTGGGTTACGTTTATTTGCAAGCGATTGTTTTATCATTAAAAGTTGCTTACTGCAGTGTAGCTCCACGACATCAACTTTATTTCGCAAGTTTGTATATCATATGGGTAATAAGTCATGTCTATATCACACGCCGTTTCAAACACCTGGAATATTGATATACATGTTGTCAGTTGAATATTCTATGTAAAGAAGCTGATGTTACTGACAATGCACAAATTTAGTACGTTTATTTCATAACAAAACTTGGAGGTAAAAATAGTACATTCTGTTATAGTTTGCACTAAAGTTTTCATCTGGATTGTGATAATATAAGTTTTTATATGTTTCTTAAAAAATAGATTTGATTTTTTAAAGATTTTGTAACCTTATTTGGAGTCACGTCGCATTACTACATGATTAAGTACAATGTATGTTTATAGTTGATGTAGTTGATATCTGGTGATTTAAAAAAAAAAATATTCTTGCGAGTAATAAAATGCACGTACCTCATGAGGGAACCACCTAATCTCACCGTAAACAAAACTTTCAACCAAAATAGTTTCATGTCCAAGACTTTCATATGATTTAACTGAATTGGCTAGAACTAGATCTGGCTTCCAAACATCGTCCTGAAAGAAATGTTACAGTATATACTTTTTCTATAGCTATGTACATGTATATTATTGGCATTATACTATATATGCCACTGAGGGAGACCGAAAGGCTGAAAGCTACGGCAAATTCAAATTAGCTTTTTTAAGTATATACGATATGCGGCAAATTTAAGATTTTGTCTACATAAGACCGAATGTCTTTGCGGACAGTTATATGTTTACAGGAAATGAAGTTCTATAACTGAAACCATATCTTGAGCCATAATGAAAGATTCATTATATAAAAATATTGGCAACAAAGTCTGGTAAAACATGTAGATGAAATTAAATCCCTTATATTCCTAAGTCAAATTACAATATGCTTCTGAGGCCCAAGAAACGGAGGTACAATTAGAAAATATCAGTAATAATCTTATAAATTTTAATATAGATGATAAACTATTTTTTGAAACACTGTTAAGTGGAATTAGGGGAAAAACTATTTCGTACTCATCTTATAAAGAAACAAGAAGACAAAACTCAGGAAAAATATTGATATAAATAAGTAATTTAGAAAGACGGTCTAATATTAATATTCAGGTTTTAGAAGAAAAAAAAAGAAGAATTACTTCAATTCCGAAATAAGAAAATGCAAGGTATTTTTATAAGATCTAGGGCCAAATGGATTTCAAAATAGGAAAAAAGCATCAAGATATTTTTGTTACCTTGAAAACAGAAATTATGTCTCAAACAATGAATCCTTTAAATGATATATCGGGTACTTTGCTTACAGATCAAAAGGAAATTCTACAAGCAGTAGCTTGTCATTTTAAAAAATTGTATACCTTAAGGGAAACAGATAACGTAAACCTTACTGCTCTATTTGATAATAATATCATATCAAAACTGAGTGATGAAGAAAGCCAAGGCCTTGCAATTGATGGTCTTTTAACTTTTAAGGAAATATTAGCCAGTATAAAAAATATCAAATGATTCTCTCCAGGCAGTAGTTTTACAATGGTTTTCTATATTTTTTTTAATGATTTAGGTCATTTTGTAGTAAGAGCAGTTAATCAAGCTTTTGTTTCAGGAAAATTATCAGATAATTTTAAACAAGGGGTTATAACGTGCATTCCTTAATGAAAGAAAGACAAGCATTATCTTTATTCAATGTTTCTAATAAAATTGCACCAGTAAGTATTGCCCAACGCCTTAAAACTGTATTAAATAAGCTTATATGTGAAGATCAAACTGGTTTCTTATCTGGAAGTTACATAGGTGACAATATAAGACATATTTATGATATTAAGCAATATACAGATGATCATCAAATTCCTGGAATATTGTAACTTATTGATTTTGCAACAGCCTTTAATTCTATATCACGGACATACTATAATGCTTGATGGAACTGTTAAGTCTCTCAGACACACTATGCAAGTATTAATTTTTTTTTGCTAAAATATCGGGTTTTGCTAAAATTTCAGCATAAACATAGATAAAACAAAAGCAGTATGGATTGGTTCTATGAAAGGGAATTCTCAAATAATGTGCCCGGATTTTAATCTTCAGTGGAACTCTGTTTTCAGCTACTTGGTGCACGTGTTTATTTTGAAATTAATTTAAATAACATGATTCAAGCTATTTATTTATCTAATCAAGGTGAAATTAATAAGTTATTTACTCATTGGTCAAGACGTATTAATATCCCTATTGGTAAGAATGATGTAGTTGAGTCATTAGCATTACCTAAACTAAATCATCCATTCTTAGCTTGCAAAATCCTGATATAGAAACAATTAATTAAAGCTTTACAAAACTCCTTCTTTAAATTCCTATGGAAGTCATTACCAGATAAAATTAAAAGAATTGTTGTTTTTCAGGATAATGAAAATAAAGGTTTCAGAGTTATAAACTTAGATACTTTCATAATGTCTCTAAAACTGACATGGATAAGAAGAATTTTAATGTATTATACTGAATATTATAATTTTCTAAATAACATGTACTCTTTTCTATCAAATATAAGTAAATATGGTGAGCAATTTTTGGTTAATAAACTTCAGACAGTGCAAAATAAATTTTGGAAGGATGACTTTACTGGGCTCATACAGTTGCTTAAGCAGTACCAAGGAATATGAGTGAATTTTGCTCACTTCCTATTTGGCATTATTCTATGTTTAAAATGGGTGGTTCTACTTTTTGTTTTTCAAGATATATGTAAATTGCGGTATTGCATTGGTTAGACAATAGAGGTAATTTGCTTCCATTTGATGAATTTTTAACTAAGTTTGATACAAATACAATTTTGTAGGGTATCCAAACATTATAGAGTCTATTAGGAGACTTTTAAATCAAATGTCTTTAAGACACCTACCTCAGAAAGAGGAAATGTCTGTCCAGCCTTTAATGATCAAGATAATCAATAGTCAAAAGAAGGGATGTAGACAAATCTTAGAGAAAATATATCCTCTATTGCTAAGAGAAAATGGGAAGATGAACTCAATTTGAATGATGATTATAATTGGAATGGCATTTATAGGCTCCCTTTTAATATTACAAAGGATTCAATTTTACGATGGTTTCAGTATAAAGTTTATCACATGATACTGGCAACAAATTGTCTTTTGAAACAACCATAGTGATCCTATAAAACATTTATTTTGGGATTACAAATTAAGTTTTTCTTTTTGGGAATGTATAAAATTATGGATAAATTCAAAATGTAGAGATGAACACTTAGATAATGCAACATTGAATTTAATTTTGTTGGGAAAGTACTAGTATATTCTTTATCGATGCAAATAAAAAAGCTAAACTCCAAGCGTTCAACTTTCCCTTGAATTGCTGACATTTTTTGGTAAAAATATCAATGTTATACATGTTATATTGGACTTTTTCCTTTATTTTAAAAGAGTTCTGTAATATTATAAGTTCTGAAAGGAATATTTTTCTAATATTACAATAAAAAAGGTCTGGCATTAATGATTATTACAAATTTGGTAAGATACTATTTAATTATTATCTTTGTTATCTTTATAAACTTTATAGAGTCTTAAAAGAAATCTCTTGTTCCTCCTTTGTCTCTCTCAATATATCGTATGTATATGCATACATGTTTTGTATTGTGAAAAAAAAATCTGAAAAAGTTTGGTAAAATACCAAGTCCTTTTAATCGAGACTGTATGTGTCAGGCAGGTTATGTATGCCATATTCTGTTAAACTCGGTGCTTACCATTCAAGTTAAAAAAGCTTAATGTAAATAAGTCACTCCAAAATTCTACACAAAAGTTATTGTAAACACTGGTGATTTAAAAAGAAATAGTTAAGAACCGCAATATATTTTGTCTTTGTCAGATTGTTATATGACAATGTGTGATAGTTTCATATGAATTTTTTAAGCAGGAAACTGGTCGTAATGTTCCCTTATTTATTGTTGTCCCCTGATCTTGTACATTGTGTGTTTGTTCAGTTCCCAATGCTCGAATAAAACCTTTCCAGGATAAACATTTGCCGAGCCCAAACACATCGGTTCTGCATATTCCTGTGATTCATACTATATTCATCTAAAATACTATAAAAATGTATTCATTGACAAGATGAAAATTTGTCGTTGGTGAATACAAAATATTTTCAGTGACTTTTACTAGAGATACATTATTATGCGTGTAGTTGTATCTATATCTGAACAATACTCGTTTACACCACACAAGTAGAGAAAGGCAATACGTCACACGGAATGGAATGTTGGTATGGAATATTACCTGAGGCCAATATGTCAAAAGTAAGAGGTTGAATTCCAAAGGATCCCATTGCAAGTATGTATCGTACCATGCTATGCTCATGAAGGCTGTTGTCTTTAATGTTTCGGTTATCTCATCTAAGTCAATAATCTTTTCAAGATAGAAAGCAATTTTTACATCTGAAACATAAAAAAGATGATTTATTGAAACAAATACCATCTAATGCCCCAAAATTATTCATTGCAAAAATTGCGGTGCGTACGAGGGATGTTCAAATATGAATGCAAATACGCCAATATCTCGCCTTTAACCACATTTTGCACGAACTATGTACATGTATTGTATCGATGGTTGTGTAAGTAATAGATACGGTACGAGTTTTTCTTCAAAGTGTCTTCTTACAGACTTAAGACGACAGTTTGCTAGGAGAAACAACAAATTGTTCGAGGCGCATTTAATAATAAATATATATAATTTAAAATGATTTACGTTCTTGTTGAAAATATAAAACTATAGAAAATATTTCCATGGCTTAAAAGCTTTAAGTAGTGCAAGGTGTGGCGAATTGTATTTGCACGAAATTTTCGTGCACTTATTTTAATCGGACATAATATATACAATGTGAAAATGGCTGCCTTTAATAGAGAGTCTTATTTACTAAAATCAATTATCTCGATCAACATTGAAACAAGCACTCAACTTTTGTAAGTTTCCTTACTTGTTTAGTAATGGGAACATGTTCTTTTGTTTTTTTTTCTGATTAGACGTTATAAAGAAATGGTAGAGTTTCAGCATATTTCAAAGAACAACTAAAAAAATTTCAACAGTTACTTTGTTCCAGGAAATGTCCGTTCAATTTATTTTAAGTTCATTACAACTTTCCGTCCGTTTCTATGGTGTCCTGTTTGAGGCAGTTAAAATATCACCTGTTAAAATATAAGATGACTTAATATCTTGTTTTGGCTTTTTCAGGAATCGTCGGTGGTTATACTCAGGTGTCCGTTCGTGTCTGAAATAATGCACGGAAGGGCACCTGAATTATTCCACCACCAGTAGAGCTGGAAAGTCGCAATATGACCTATACTGTTTATACCCAAACAAGCACTGACAAAATACGAGCGCACGGCTCTTGTTAATAGACAAGTAGCGATGTATAACATTCGCTTTCGCAAAGCTTTATAAGAAACATGCGAGAGTTAAGGTTAATCATCGCAAATGTTCTAACATTTTGTTTCTCTCGAAGGTTAAGTTAAGCGTGTGAAAAAATCAAGGTTGTATGGAACCAAATGTTTTATTCGAGAATGCAGAATTGATTGATTGATTGATTGATTGTATATATATAGGTTTGTGAAACATATTTGCATCTACAAAATACCTTTCAAAAACACTGGATCCAAAGAAGGATGCAAGAACGTGGAAAAAAACAATAAATTTGGAGAAAATAAACGTTCATACAGTGCTAAAGTATAAATACCCAAGTACTTTTGGCGTATTATGCCTTCATCAGGGGTGTATTACATGTATAATGTGCACACAATCGAGCACAAAATCTCAATACGTGTGTACTGTATAGTATCAACAAGAGCGATCAGTAATCACATGTGTCGCCTCATGATGGCCAATTTCATGTTGGGACAAATTTTGTGACAGACAGACGGACAGTGAACAACTAGACTTGGTACTGATCATTCCTGTAAAGTTTGGATAAAATTGCACCAGTAGTTTATGAGGAGTAGTCCGGACAAGCTTTTGCGTATCTGGCAAAAAAACCTTTTTATCAAAGGGCCATAACTCGGCCAAAAATCATTCAACCGGAAAACCCGTGCAATATGCTAAAGGACTTGAGCTACAGATCAATCCTGTAAAGTTTCATTGAAATTGCATTAGTGGTTAAAGAGAAGTAGTCCAGACACACTTTAAAAATAAAAATAATTAAAGGGCCATAACTCTGACAAAAATCATTGAACCGGAAAATGCTGACAATATGCACAACTAGACTTGGTACTGATCATTCCTGTAAAGTTTGGATGAAATTGCACCAGTAGTTTATGAGGAGTAGTCCGGACAAGCTTTTGTGTATCTGGCAACGACAGAAAAAAACACATTTTTGTCAAAGGGCCATAACTCGGCCAAAAATCATTCAACCGGAAAACCCGTGCAATATGCGCAAGGACTTGAGCTACAGATCAATCCTGTAAAGTTTCCTTGAAATTGCATTAGTGGTATAAGAGAAGTAGTCCGGACAAACTTTAAAATTAAAAATTATTAAAGGGCCATAACTCTGACAATATGCACAACTAGACTTGGTACTGATCATTCCTGTAAAGTTTGGATGAAATTGCACCAGTAGTTTATGAGCAGTAGTCCGGACAAGTTTTGTGACGGACAGACGGACAGACAGACAGACAGACAGACGGACAGACAGACGACGGAGAAGTGATCCCTATATGTCGCCACTACTCCGTAGAGGCGACACAAAAATTGAACTGAAACACAGTCGCTAGAAAGGTGATACAATTACATCGATTATGAATAGACCGTTATTGAATGGTCATTGTGTAGTACTTTACAAAAGAGAATATAGCCTGCGGTCAATATGGCATAAACTCGGTTAAATATATCGTTTAAAAGAAAAAAATATATATAAACTAAAAAAATAAAACTTCACATATAAGGGCGTTTTGTGTTTTTAGCTCGACTATACGAAGTATATGGAGAGCTGTCCTACTCGCCCCGGCGTCGGCGTCGGCGTCCGCGTCCAGATTTTAGATTAAAGTTTTGGTGCAGTAAAATATTTTTCACTATAACTTTGTCATTTCTTAAGGTATCAACTTCAAACTTCAAATATATGTTCCTTATCATCAACCACATCTTATGTGACAAGGTTCATAACTCTAGCACCAATATTTTCAGATTTATCTCCCCTTGAACTTAGAATTTTCCTTAAAAAATACTATTTTTTACTGTTTCTTCTTTATTTCTTAAGGGATCAACCTCATACTTTAAATATATGTAAGTTATCATCATCCCCATCTTATGTGACAAGGTTCATAACTCTAGCACCAATATTTTCAGATTTATCTCCCCTTGAACTTAGAATTTTCCATAAAAAATATTATTTACTGTTACTTATTTGTTTCTAAAGGGATCAACTTCATACTTCAAATATATTTACGTTATCATCATCCACATCTTATGTGACAAGGTTCATAACTCTAGCACCAATATTGCAAGAATTATCTCCTCATAAACTTAGATTTTTTTTACTAGAAAAATGGTATTTTTTATTATAACTTTTTTATTTTTAAAGGTATCTACCTCAAACTTCAAATACTTATTCCTTATCATCAATTAAATTTTATGTGACAATGTTCATTACTCTTGAAGCAATATTTACACATTTATCTTTCTTTGAACTAAGGATTTTCTTTAAGAAATATAATAACTTCTTTACTTTTTAAGGTATCTACTTCAAACTTCAAATATATATTTCTTATCATTACACAAATGTTGTGTGACAAGGTCCATAACTCTAGCATGACTATTTCTAGAATTATTCCCCTTGATCTTGGAATTTATGTTAACAAATATTATTTTTTAATATCACTTAATACATAATTATACATAATTGATTTTTCTTTCATAGTTTTGTCCTTCTTACTGCGTCCAGTATTTTATTAGTCGAGCTTCGCTGTCTCCTGTGACAGCTCTTGTTATTACTATAAGTATGATGTAAGAAAATGCAAGTTACAAACAGTATGATGTTATATGAAGTGGAAATTTACGATAAGGTGAAAGTAAAAACGAAGCTCTCAGGCAAGGGAAAAATAGCCCTCCCCGACACCGCCTGATGACTAAAGTTAGGTTTATAAGTTTGTCAAGAATGGGCGAGAATAATTGTGTAAATTAGTCTCCTTTATTGATTCCTGATGGCTCTAGCGTATTAAGTCGGCGAATCCAGTATGTCTCGCGTGATTTCCGTGTTATATCTGACCACTTTGTGTTATGTTCAATACAACAGAGGGACACGTCTTTAAAACTGTGTCCCTCAAGGTGAAAATGTTCAGCAACTGGGGATCTGTTAAATGTTCGCGTTTTCCAGTCAGAGCGGTGTAAGTTCATCCGTTTATTTAATGGAAGTTTGGTTTCACCGACATATTGTTTGTTACACACTTTGCAAGAAATAAGATAAATAACGTTAGCCGTTTTACAATTCATTATGTCTTTGAGAGATGTTTTGGCCCCTATTTTTGAAAAGAATGTTTTTGTAAGGAGCATGACAGCACAGGTTTGGCATCTTGATGAAGGCATAATGCGCCGAAAGTACTTGGGTATTTATACTTTAGCACTGTATGAACGTTTATTTTCTCCAAATTTATATATATATATATATATATATATATATATATATATATATATATATATATATGTCATATTACAATACATTGAAGACAATTTATCACAGATACATAATTTGTAACACAATAATAAATTGAAAAAAATAATAACTTTCATATTAAATCAATGATCTAGTTGACTTCAAAACAATATATACAACACATGATAACCCATGACCGTTCAATATTAAATAGAGAACTTATTTCCAATGGAGTCCCTTGATGAAAACAATTATATTTTCTTGAAAACTGTCATTACAGTCCATGCTTAGACTGATGTTAAATGTCTTAGATCAAATAAGAATCTCGCTGCTCTATCTATAAAGATACATAAGGGCGACATGAGACTTTTAAAAGAAAGCATTACATGTCAAAAGATGTTATTTAACTGACCCAAGCAGGACACCGTATATTTCAGCTGCATTAAGTACTTAATCCACATGGAAGTTATATAAGACGTAGGAAGATACTTTTTGAATAGCTTTGCTGGGGGTATAGTCGTATCACAGGTGAACGTCGCGTGACAGACACTATACCCCGTCCCCATCCACAACCCAAACCCTTAAACATCATTCAAACATCATAAATATTGACAAAAATAAATTTTATGAAAATAAAAAATGATGACTCTAAAAAATTAAAAGGTATTTGACTTTTGTATAGAAAAATCACTAGCATCTCGATTTTCAGCGCATATATTCATCAAATTTTCACCAATCTTACCAATCTTGGTGTCAAATCTTATATAAATAAATACTCCTTAAGAAAACAACACTGGCACCTTCGCTGATTATACGTAGCAAGTAATATTCATGTTCTATTCATAATCTAACGAATATCAGTATTAATTTTATGCAGTTAACTTTCGATTTACATTGTAGCTAATATTCGATTCAGTTATCCCCCTTTAACGTCTCTTCCTCAACGCTAAGCGTACCACATGTTTACTACATGAACTCTCAAACAAAAACCAACTGATAAAGTGTATATTCAACATAATATATATATGTACCTGTATAAATATGATATCATATATATTGTAGACATTTATTATGCTGCAACCAGAGTTTTATATTGGATATTTGTATCATAATTTGGGGACCTTTCTGTTGAAAATGTGTCAGAGTTAAATATACATGGGTAGTGCGTTAACTGGAGTGCAGGTATTAGTTACCCGCACTCAAGAGCATGGTCATTGATTGGCTCATTTTTGCTGGGGTTAACTTTTAGTGATGGCAGAGAAAGGGAAAGCGACAGAAATGTCATATTCAGATGCTCGTTCATTTGTTCTTTTTTATTGTGACAACAGTGAACATGTTTTTATGTTTGACTATGATACAAAAAAGAAAGAACATCAAAACACTCGACAATATGATTAATACTCAGGGGCTACGCCCCCTCGTACCAATTAGATAACCTCGTGTTTCGATGCTCTTTCTATTACACAGACTATATAATTATTTAAAAAAACATACTAAAAGACCGAGGTTGATTTTGGAATGGAGTAATCTTAGAGTTGTAGCCCTGATTAACGAAAAGTTCTGTGTAAAGGCGATGTCTTTCTGTAGCGTTGCTGGTAGGATTGGATATGAACACACAGACACATCTTGTGGTAGACGCTAGAAGCAGTACTAATATCTTGAAGTCCATTCTTTTGTACCTATAAATGTAGAAATATGCTGCAATATCAAATAAAATATTACATTCTTAACTGATAATCATCGCGCATAACACATTGAAATTTCTACATTTGTCTTGTTTTCTCGTGGGACAATATCCCAACACAAACCTGAAGAGTTGGGTTTACACAATCAAATAACATTAAAAAGAAAACGAACAAACAAGGGAAATAAATTAAGGTCATGCTGCTTTGATTCAATGAAACAGTATTTTCCAAAATGTTATGTGTATAATGAAATGTAAATTGTAAGATATATTGGTATCTGTAACGAAAATGCATTTATTACATGTATCATTACATATATTATTATAGTTCGTCTATAACAGCATTTCAACTGCACTACCTTTACAAATTTGAAATAGTCCGAAAGACGTCGATTTCTATTAGATTTTCTTGATAAAAATTATTAAAAGTATTGATCGAATCGATAAAATAAGAAAATAAGTGTTAAACATGACAATATAATGGATTTGGTCCGTCACTATATATATATATATATATTTGTCGGACCAAATCCATTATCAACTATTCATTTCAGTATTGTATTAGTAAATATTAATTTTGTATTTGTGCATGTGCTGTGAATCTGTTTAAAATAACTTTAAAATTAAAGAACATGATGCAAATTCAGCGTGGGCATCTATTTCTTAAACTAGGGTCAAGTGCCTAATATCGCCCAAACAGGACAGGTAAGCTATTGCACTGGTATATGGCATTGAAATCGGATCGAAAGCAAGGTCAGGGTGGGTTGAGAAAATTGTGCTTTTTATGAAGCTATTACATAGGTATATAAAAGGAACAAATCCATAAACCGACTAACTCCCATGCAACACGGCAGTTGCACCGCGAACTTAGCAACAGAATATGCCCAAAAACGTGGGTCACTCAGTGGGCATCGAAAAATGTCACTTTTTTACTTAAAAGAGTTTATCTATAAATTAAAGGCATTTGATGGCAGTCATATTTCTTTGTTGAATTCCAAAGCTTATCACTGTCTTACTTTTAGCAAACAAATAGACCAACTGGTAGGACACGTCACGAAGGGTTAAAAAATGGTACATATTAAGGAACTATTGAAGAAGTCAGTTACAAGGTGAACAATTCTGGAAATAAATTGGGGTTTTTAAGCAAGCGCCTAGTGCATAATATTGTCAAAGGCCGGACTCAGTTCACTCACTAGCAAATTTGCATGAAAATTGGACCAATGGAAATCACGGTGGGCGCCAGAAAATAATGTACTTTTACTAAAAAATTATCTAACTATTATCATAAATATATTTCTATTTGATTTTTGTTATATATTTACTGTTTATTAAAGTATCATCTATACATGGAAACATTTTATAAAAATACACAATACAAACTTAAATACATGTATGACCATTGCTTCTAAGGGTGACAACTCCCCAGACCACAAAACAGCAGTCTTTTATGCTCTGCAGATTTGTCTCCCTTAGCTACACATTTCTTTTATACAAGAAAACATTTTCATAATTCCAAATAGCCGAAACATAATAAAAACGGACTCTGGGTCTAATTGCCGTTCTTACTTATCAGTTAACAAAATTTTTGTTGAATATACTTTTGGAGAAATTGGTACCAGGTAGTTAGTTTCTAAGAAAAACGGTTTGGTCGATCGACCATCTAGCAAGATATGAACAAAATGTAATAAAATCGGCTTAGACATGTCACAGACTGAAATGATACGTTTATGGCAGTTGTGGCTTTCAATAGTTTTATTTAAGTGGACACATCGTGCACGCGTTTAGTTTTTATCGTATACGTTTAACTTCCGGTATTGAATCGGTGAAACTCGACAATTTCCGTCACTGATGTACATTGTCGATCTCACCCGTGCAATATCGTGAACACTGGTCACTCGTTCTTTGTTGTATTTGTCCAATTGTTTTGTTTGTTGTATATGTTTCTATGTGAGAAAGATATTCATTTGTTCTTTTAAATATTATCAACTTCTGCGCACTGTTTGATTTTCCTGTCCCGCTCACTTTACAGTCATCCCTTACGAGTCAGACGTATAGTAAAACTAATTAAATTTATTTAACATGAGATCTACTGGTTACTTTATTTCAATTTATATTGAAAAACTACATAAGTAAATATCTCCATACTGACGCTGTGGTAAGAAATAATATTAAAACTAAGATATTGATTGTAATTCTTATTTATGTATTTTTGTAATTTCTTATTCCGCATCGATTGTGTATATATTGTTATTTCATTGTATTTTGTTCTTTTATGTATTGTATTTGTAAGATGTATAATTATTTTAATATATTTTTAGACCATTTTTACTTGGGATTAATAAATACATCGAACCTACGCCCAGAGTTTGTTTCTATCCAGTGTAGAAATATTTTAGTTTAAACATATTTATTCCCGAAAGTATATATAATGTACATACAAATATATAACAAACAAAACATTTTACACAATGGCAAAAGATGAGAATGAAAGACAAGTCTTATAGAATTCTTCTCCTTTGGCGAACTATATGGTTTGTCTTAAATAAGTTTATAATTAGTATATACTAGACAAGGGAATAAGTTTTAATTATACACACATAAAAATATATATTTATATATAAACTTTTATAGAATAGATTAACTACAAGTAGATGTCTAAAATGTAAGAATATAGAATGTAGAAATATTTTAACCCTACGACAGACATAAAACAGAACAAAAGTAGACAAACAAATATAATAAAAAGTATTTTTTTCCATATACTAATTATTATTTTTAAGTCAGTAACGCTCAGTACAACTGTAAACAAACTTAAATACAACTGTCTTTATAATGACTTCATTGGACTAAAAGATAAATAAAAGAAAGTTTACCTTGGCTAATGTATGTCAGATGGAAAAAATTTAATTCTAACACTATCGGATTTTTTTCTTAATAAACAAAGAATGACGGAAACGTGCATTATTCTACATTCTAACACTCCACGTGATGTTGTCACTATAGACAAAGAAGGAAAAAAACCGGTGTTAAACTGCCAATAAACACTTGTTAGGGACTATTTGTATATGCGGCTGTTATGTTTTCACCTTCGATTATATAGTTTACAAAGCCTTTTAAAGCAACAATAAAAAGCATTGTTATTTATATTTTCAGTTCTTATAATGCTTTCTTTTCATACATCACCGAAATTATATCTCACATACACAAACGCCACATAATGGATCCATATCATTTTGACAAAACGGCGCCAATCCGTAAGCAGCGTAATGACGTCATGCTAAGTAAACAACTCGTTCATAAACAAGCTAACGTTATTTCATACATACAAGAATGATAACTGTGGCACTGATGTAAACTAAATACGATGTAAGTTTCTATTGTTGAAAACTTGATAAAATAACGTTGTCTCTGTTGTTTAATAATTTCTATATCTTCGAAACAGTAGGGTGTGAAAATCGAACAGCGTTACACGAAAATCGGCACTGGAAGTTATTTCCGCTTGAAAAAATAATATTAGTGATCTTTCTTATTCGATCGTGTTAGAATCGAAATAATATCGGTTTTAGCGGTGTTTATCGGCTATGTAACACCTTTTTTGTCGTTTTGATGCGAAAAAAATAACTACTCAGGCCTACGGTTCAAAACTCCGCCAAGCCATCTCCTACGCAGTGATCTCCCCTTATCAGTACAATTCTGCCAAGGGAGGTAATCACTGTGAGGAGTTTGGCTAAACTCCTAGTATGGAAATTTATATCAATTCTACGTGCATTATAGTTTAATAATGCTGGTTTGTTCGTTCAAATGCGTTGTAATTAATCACTCAGGCCTATCGTGCATTATTCTACAACCATGCACTCAGAATTTATATCTATTTCCTAGACAATAATTACAGATTATATGTTATGTTTTTGATGACTGTATTGGTAGAAAATGTTAATGCTTAAATGTATTAAGTCGGATTGTTCACGTTATGTTTTAGAAAATTTAGTATTGTGTTATAGTTATTTGGTTTAAAATGTAATGTACCTTCTTTAATTTATTCTTTTCTTCATTTTATTGTATTTACAGAATCATTCGGACTGGTTTACTATTATAATAATTAAAAGGTATGTTTTACTTACATTATTTAACTTTATTTTCTGATTTCAAATACATATTCAAGCATTGTAACAAATCTTGAAGTTCACAAGGACAAACAGTATCATATTCTATAAATTTGTATAAGTCCACAAAGAAATACAATATAGCTAGTACTCTATTAATTCATATACAAAAGCAATTAGACATGTTCAGAAATTTATAGGGATAGAAATAAGTACTATTGTTTTACGTAAAGAAATATAATAATGGATTTTAGTTTAAATAATAAGATAACATAAAATTTCATGTATACAAACATTTTGTCTATACGCTACGTGTTCATGAAGATAATAATTATAAACCTTTTTTTCATAAGCATTTTATATGGGCTGACGTCATAAAACAGACTGGTTTTATATACACATACCTTTTCACCCATTACTAGTATTTGCAATTTTATTAACAAACAAAGAAAAAGCATTTTCTGATTGCATAAATGCAACTCAACATTAAAAATTATTTCCCAAATTTATGTTAACCGACATAATCATTATCTGACAATATAAGTTTATACAGATATAGATGTTACAACTTTTCTTTTTTCTATAGTCTCATTAACATATATTATATTAAAGTGAATTTCTGTATTTATGCGGACAGATATTATGGCTATTAAATGTTCTAATAACCAGACAAAATATAACTGTCACGGTTCAGAACTGTTCCATATTTAGGGGAGATGATGTGTAAGGTTAGCTAAGTCGGTAGAGCCCTGGAACGGTATTCCGAGGGTCCCGGGTTCGAGTCCCGATCAGGCTGCACATTTTTCTTACCCTGTGACATTAAGCGCCCAACGGGGGACCGTGACTGATATAGCTCAGAGTTTAATTTACATTGCTGTGTAACTCTGTGAAATTCGATACCAGGGGAGTTT